CCCCGTACGTGGCCGGGTACGTCCCGACGTATGAGTGGGTGATATGATGGTATAAGGGCTGGTGAGAATGTAGCCAGGCCCAGTGTGAGGTCGCACGCGTCTTTGGATTAGCCGGCGTGTTGACAGGCCCCGTACGTGGCCGGGTACGTCCCGACGTATGAGTGGGTGATATGGTGGTATAAGGGCTGGTGAGAATGTAGCCAGGCCCAGTGTGAGGTCGCACGCGTCTTTGGATTAGCCGGCGTGTTGACAGGCCCCGTACGTGGCCGGGTACGTCCCGACGTATGAGTGGGTGATATGATGGTATAAGGGCTGGTGAGAATGTAGCCAGGCCCAGTGTGAGGTCGCACGCGTCTTTGGATTAGCCGGCGTGTTGACAGGCCCCGTACGTGGCCGGGTACGTCCCGACGTATGAGTGGGTGATATGATAGTATGATGGCTGGTGAGAATGTAGCCAGGCCAAAGAGAACAGTATGATGGCTGGTGAGAATGTAGCCAGGCCCAGCGAGAGGTCGCACGCGTCTTTGGATTAGCCGGCGTGTAGACAGACCCCGTACGAGGCCGGGTGCGTCCCGTCGTATGAGGGGAGCTATGTGATTATGTTTGGTGTGTTGTGATGGATAAACCCGAGAATGTATGTATTTATATGGATGAAATGGTTTAATTGATGTCAGGGGCCAGGATTGATAGGAAAGAGCTACGTGTGGCTTGATCCCTTAGTAGGGTACGTAGGCAGCCTGGGATAGCGCCTAGGTGCAGCCACGACCTAGACACCACTTAGGTGGTTTTATCGAGTATGATGCGGACCTCGTGGTTGGTCCCGAAACTTGGTTGAATTGAGGCTTGTCCGGTGGACTGAGTGAGTGAAGGTGTGTATGGATGGATTTTGAATTGGTTATATGCTTGTCTGATGCAGTAAGTTATTTTGAAAACGTGGTGGGCAGTTTGTTAGAATCATTGAAGGCCGGAGGCCATTTATGTAAATTGCATGAGAGTATATTGTGCGTGCTGCTGGTTGGGTTATAAAATGAGTTTTATGCAGGTAGAAATTTTGGGGAATGTTCAATTTACAGGGGAGACTATGCCGAAATTTTGGCAGAAAGTCTCATGCCCTAAATCCTCTCTGGTAAAAGAGGACATAGTTTTAAGGAGTAAACCCGGCGTGGGTGTGATGCCGGGGTCTCCGCAGGGTTCGTCTCGGGTTCCGGGAAATTCGGGGCGGGTCCTGTCAGCTTACTAAGCACTCTCAGCCAACACCTAAGATTAATTAGGGTGGCAGTTTATTTTCAAACCATCTATATAGTCTATAAATCCTAGGATGTAGTCTAGAAATCCCTATGTTAGTTATGTGGCACAATGTTAAGCTTCATCCATATTTTTTTTACCAACTCTAGCTTACTATAAATAGCCCTACCAAATAGTTATTGGATCATAGGTTCTTCAAGTTATAGTAGTTTCCTAAAAAAATCGTAGACAAAAGAAAATAAGAGAACTAAGTGTGGTGAGATTTTGGAAAAGCTCAACTGGGAGTTGTACAATAGCTTTGGATTTGAGGTAGGGGTTTTTCTTGGGGAGGTTTTGCATACATTGATTTAATTAAATATTGTAAATACTATATTATGCTTGGTAATATTATTTGATTATTATTGTAAATACTATATTATGCTTGGTTATATTATTTGATTGTTATCCTTGATATTGGATGTATACGTGTTGTCAATTATCATTATAATTTGATTAATATTGACATATTCATATGTTGTCGGTGGTGGTTGAAATTTTTGGGTTGATAAAGAAATTATGGAAAATAGGGTAATGGGAAGGATCTTTCGTGTAGTTGAGTCTAACTCTTGGCATGTACCAAGTCTCAGGGATCCCACAGTGCACATGGTTTTTATTGGGTGATTCGGACTGACAACAGGGAGTTAGACAAGATGACTAACAAAAGGGGAATTATGGGATGATTGAGATGAGTGTTAGTTCATATAAATGGGCATTCGGGACCAAGTGGTATAAGCATGGTATGAGACATACAAATTTGCTTGCTCTATTATATAGATTAATGGGTTCGGTAGAAATGAAGTTCATTCATGCATTGCATAAATTGTACATTATAAATTTCACTAATCACATAAGACATAAGACACCTACTGAGCATGTAATGCTCACCCCTTGTTGAATCTATTGCAGGCTTTGAATCTGAAGTTTAGTTTTTGCTGAGGAAACAAGAAGAACGGGTTGTGGATAGTTTTGAATGTTTTGTTGAAAGTTTGTTACTTTCTTGTTATTTTGCTTGTAAAATTACAATGTAAATTACTTTGACTTAAATCGAAGTTTATGCTCAATCTTCATGTTTCTTGATATTTAAATTTGTAGTTTTAGTTTTTCTTTCACCTCACACTCCAAAAAAATATAAAAATAAAATAAAATTGGGGTGTGACAGGCCCTTATAAATAGACCTCATAATTCAGCTCCCAAGCTAGCCAACACCTACATTGTAAGAAAAACATTTTATCCAATAACCATCACGTCTTCTCAAGAGGCCCCCCAACACTAATATGATTTAAATGCTGTTAGCAACTACGTACCATCCACATTTAAATTTGTACCAAACAAAAGGAGGAGTGGACCAATGCCTATGAGCTTCGAGAGACAAGCTTTTATAGCTTCAAACCACTCTATTTGTAGCTTTTATAGCTTCGAGAGACAAGCTTTGATTGGCAGCTTGGCAACTGATCAAATGAGGTTGTCCTTCAAATACAATATCTTTTCACTCTCATATTTCATACCAAATGGTCCTTTTGAGCATGTTTTGTAGTAACAATATTAATCTAAAAGTTGTACTTTAGAAGATAAGCAGATCCCTCTAGTCTTGATGTCAGAAATTGATTGCAAAGTTCGCATATGAAGGCGATGATTATGGTAGTGTAGATAGGATTTGGAGGTTGGAGATTTTGATGATTGCATTAAATGTGAAGGAGTGTGGATGCGTTGATGGTTGTTTAGTTGTCATTGTCACGGACTTCATGAGTCGTAATTATTTTTTATGCATCTCTCGTCACGTGATTGATTACATAATATACGCTATTATTCTTGTTGATATGGATTCTTGGCCTCTATATGTTTGCGATTTTCTTTTCCAAGACATCATAATTCGATTGAGGTTGTGATCCTAAAAACTCAAGGTACCAAACTTTGTGTCATGTAAATAACATACTTGTTTTTAACACAACATAATATACGGATCCGTATTCTTGTAACATTGACACTTGCAAACATGTGTTCATGTATCTGCACCTATAAGGTCATCTTCAATCATAGGGCTAAATGTAGTCTAGGGCTATAAATTTAACCCTCCAAATATTAATTTTTTAAAGAATAATGTAGGGTTAAATTTTTCTATCTCCAGCCATGCATGTCTATATTTTAGGGCACTTCATATTTTATTATTTTGAGAAAAACTATGGTACAACACTCATATATTCCACAACTATGTATTATTTAATTTAATTAAACTACTATTTAGAGAAAATATTCCATATATGACACGTGTACGTTTTATATTTTTTTTTAACAAAACAAATTTAAAACATTTAAAAAGGTTTTAAATAATAATAAAAAAGTAACTCTTGACCTCCAACAATCACAAACCAATTATATATATATATATATATATTTTAAACAAAATGAATTTGAAAACATTTTAAAAGGTTATTAAAAACTTTATAAAAAAAAACCTAACGGCTAGCTTCATGACGTCTGTGCGCCTTTAATATTGGTTATTAGATATACAGTTGCATGAGATATTTTGTGCTCTTGCCCACGCGTGATACTTTCTCTTCTTAGAAAGAACATGTGTTGGGCCCACAAAAAATTTTGGTCTAGGCCAAATCTAGGCTATAAGTAGTCTGATTGGAAGGCTAAAGAGCCAAATGTGCCCTTTAAATTTGGCCAAATTTTTTTTTAGCCCATAACTAAAAATGGGTTTTGCATTATTTGAAGGCTATATTTGGCCTATGACCAATGACTGGAGATGGCCTAATAATACTAAGGTACAGCAAATCCCACCTGAAAAGAACTCAATTTCTCCCAAAAGAATACATCTCAATACAATTCCTCCAATACCCGTGACAGTGAGACAATCAACAATGTTACCCTTATCTTTCGATACTTCATTTCACAACCAATAATCTATTCAAACTTCTATGATTCCTATACCCAATAGATAACCCAAAAAAAAAAGGGAAAGTTTTTTTATTTTAATACAAGCGATATTGGGAGAAAAGACAATCAAATCCACTTCGGATGCATGTATGGGAAAATTTTAATAAAACAATTCTGCAAATGGTAGCAAAACAAACTGAGGAGTATGGTGAGCCACAAGTTAATGGTCATGTACATCACATTCTAGAACATGAAACTTTATGCATCTAGAAGGTCACATTATTGTAATTGAAATTATTAATTAATTTAAAATTTAAATGCTTTAGTGAGTTCATCCCCTGACCATTTCACAAATTGTTTTCTAGAAGACCTCAATTTTAAAAACACACAATTGCTAAAAATAAAGCCTATTCGGTGGCATGGGGAAAATACAAAAAATCCAAAAGCAGCCAAAACAATCACGGTGTGTTTGTCTACCATTCTCTCTCATCACCCCTGTGAATCCAAATTGTTTAAATTTCTCAACTGACACCTGCCTCATTCAGAGTCCCATCTACACTTCTCACTCATTCGGAGTAAGCAAGACAGAGAGAAGAGAGAGAGAGCTCTGCATTTTTCAGCGGCTTTCTATCTGTCTCCTCTCTACCAGTGCAAATATTTGACTGATAATCGAAATCTGTAACCTTTCGTTTTCGCTTTCGCTTCACAGATCTTAAACTCCCAAAAAGCAAACTACTTTTGCTATTGTATCGCTTGTAATTGTTTTCTTTTCGTTAAAGTTCGCTCATTTTCTGGCATTTTGGTTTTCTCGGGAACCAAACAGAAGAACCCAGAAAATGTGGAAGCTGAAAATTGCGGAGGGAGGGAGCCCGTGGCTGCGCACACTCAACAATCATGTGGGCAGGCAAGTGTGGGAGTTTGATCCCAAGCTTGGCACCCCCGAAGAGCTCCTCGAGATCGAGAAAGCTCGCGAGCATTTTCACAACAATCGGTTCGTTAAGAAACACAGCTCCGATCTGTTCATGCGCATGCAGGTAATTATTTACTCTTGTGTGTTTAAATGCGTTATTGATTTGATGAAAATGAAAGCTCTGCTGCTGGTTTTGAGAGTGCTTACGTGAACTTTAAGTAATATGGTTTTCATTTGTGGATCTTGTGCTTTCTTGAAGACTTGAATATGAATATGTATTTTATATTTTGATATTATATTTTAGAGTTGAAGTTGACCCCAGAAAGACCTGGTTTGACTAAGTCATCAATGGGTTAGTGCGGAATTGCGTGGTGGTGTGAATTGTGAAACCATGATGGAGAAAGGGAAGTTCTTGAGTGTTTATGAAATTGGGGGATGGAAAACTAATTGATAGTAGCTTGTTTGCGTCACTTTGAGTCTTCTGGAAGAGTTCCTAAATATGCTCTCTTGTCTCCCTTGGATGAGATTTCTAAGCAAATGGGGATTTGTCTTTAGTATTAACCTTTTGACAATCTCCTTGTTGGTTCCAATTTCAGAAGATGTCACAAAATGTAAGAGTCAATGATAGCTGCCTCTGAGGATAAGAAACTAGGATACTGCTACTTTTATCGTTGAATATTTACATGTGATTTTTGGTTTCTGAATGATTTTTAAACTGCTATCTACTGTTTCCGGCTTAATTGTCATGTTGGTTGGATGCTGCTGATTCCATTGCCAATCTCTTTTTTAAATATTTTTTTTATTATCATTGTAATCCCGGACAACCCTTCACTCCACATCATTTTAGTGCCATTTCTTTTGAAATTTCATTGAACAAAGTACTCCGCTTTTAAAATTCCAAAGCTGCCAACTTGAACAAGTATAAGTCAGTATGCAACTAGATATAAAATTGTATCACTAAATTAAGCTAAAGGAGCAGTAAACACTTTGCACAATATTGTTATATTCATCTACTTTGTAGTCAATGATAAATCTTGTAAACGATTGACCTTTTATTTGTTTCATTTTAAATGTTAAGGGGAAAATTGTGTAAGAATACTCATTGGAAGTATTCCTGAAAATACGTCAGCCTTTTTCAGTTCTCCTAAAATTTGGATTATTCTTACTGTTTAATGGACTGATAGAGGTGATATTGTAATGACTTGGGTTCTAAGGTTAGCGAATATGCAATCATAGTCCTTCACCTATGCATTTATCCAAAAAAGAACATCTTAGTGTTTTGCCTCCCCAGGTTTCTACTTCTTGGTATGATTGTAAAAAGTTCTTTTACAAGGGTTCCATCTAGAGAGTTATTGAGTTTGAACAGCAGCGGACTCTCTGAAAGGCTTTCCCTTTGACATATTGTCCAATATTATTTGAAGAATAATCATAGTTCTAATTATCTAATAACAGAGTTTAAGGTTTCTTACAAAAATTGATTCTAGAATTTCGTATGCCTTCCATAGTTGGAATGGTGGCGAAGATTTTATGATTTGCTACTGTAGTAATCCAGAATATCAAGCTTCTCCTTGAATTTATTTATTTATTTTATTTTTGTGTGAAAATCATCCTAAAATCTCTCAACTGGAAAAGGATAGACCATCAGTGATTATATTATCTGTTTTGAGGAAAAGCATGATGAAAGAGGATCATTCAAAATATTGATTGTTCTACATGTTATCATTACCGTTTCAGATAAAGTTGCTTGTTTCTTTACATTTCCTTGTCACTGGAACAATCAGTCAGACTGTGAATCAATTGTTAGCTAATGTTTAATGGTTTTAATATAATAGTTTTAAGGGAGAATGATCATATAATAGTTTTTTTTAGCTCTGCTTTTTGGGGAATGGTGAATGAGCCTGTCAATGCTCAAACATTAGTCTTCTATTAAGTTAATTTCATATAATATATAACTGTTATCACTTATTATAACTTTTTATCTTTCCTCACTGAAAATAGTTATCCAAGGAGAACCCAGGTCATGCTGTTTTACCCCAGATCAAAGTAAAAGACACAGAAGATGTGACTGGGGAGACAGTGACAAATACATTAAGAAGGGCTATAAATTTCCATTCAAGTCTTCAAGCCCATGATGGACATTGGCCCGGGGACTATGGTGGCCCTATGTTTCTACTGCCTGGCCTGGTAAGTGCTGATGCTGCTGCCAATAGCAACTGTATGACTCAGCCTTTGAGAACATAAAAGTGCACGGCAAACATTCATTTTTTTTATTCCTTATACAATAAATCCATTGCAGAAAGAAATAATCATTTTAATTCTGGACACTTCTTCCCATCAAATGATCAGGTAATTACTTTGTCTATCACTGGGGCATTGAATGCAGTCTTATCAGATGAGCATAAGAAGGAGATTTGTCGATACCTTTACAATCATCAGGTAAGCATCAATTTAGATTGTGGGATAAATTTTTGTAGAGCTTCTGCCCGTGGGACCAAAATTTGTTAATTTAGAGATGTTTAATTGCAGAACAAAGATGGTGGGTGGGGCTTACACATTGAGGGCCCAAGTACTATGTTTGGTAGTGTCTTGACTTATGTTACTTTAAGGTTGCTTGGTGAAGGAGCAAAAGATGGACAAGGAGCGATGGAGAGTGGGCGTAAATGGATTCTGGACCATGGTGGTGCTACTGCAATTACATCGTGGGGGAAAATGTGGTTATCAGTTCAGAACTTAACCTTCATCTTGTTGGTCTAACTGACCTTCAGATTTGATTACTAGTTTTTGTTGGAATGAGTTCTATATATCCACAATCTAGTCCCTTTGTTTATTTGTTGTGGTATTGGTGGTCTGTAATAGGTACTGGGAGCATTTGAATGGTCTGGCAATAATCCCCTGCCCCCTGAGATATGGCTTCTTCCGTACATGCTGCCTATCCATCCAGGTTCTTGCCATTTATGCATTCTATGTGGATGAGTGTATTTCCTGTATGTATGCTGTGATTTTGGAGAATAAGTGATTTTCTTCTTATAAAAAAGAAAAAGCTAAAAAGAACAGGTGTTTCTGTAATTTTGTCTAACGTGGCTGATAGTAACTTGTAATGTACTATCAGCTAAGGTAATCAACATAGTTTGGGTGTTCATACTAATTCGATAGCCTACATTTTATGCTTCACACTGAACCTTTTTTTAAATCATATTTAATGCTGAAAAGAACGAGCTCTGGATTATTTTTTTAGCATCTTCCACATGATATAGCATTCCTATTCTGCTAACCATGAACAAAATATGCTGTATTCTAGTGGATTTTTTGTTCCCTTCTTAAAATTGTGCTCTTTGTCCTACAAGTGAGACTTCGAATACTATCATTCTCAACTAGTATGTGTTATAGTGAAGTTTCAGCTGTTCAATGGTGAATTTTGTCTATAAGTTCATATAAAGGTTTCTTGTGGCATACATGAACTATTGTTTTGATCTTCCAATAAATCCGCTAGTGGAGGAATTGATTTTCTTTTTACTCTGCAGGAAGGATGTGGTGTCACTGCCGAATGGTTTATTTGCCAATGTCTTACTTATATGGAAAGAGGTTTGTTGGCCCAATCACACCAACAGTCTTGTCTTTGAGGAAAGAGCTTTTCAATGTTCCCTATCATGAAATAGATTGGAATGTGGCTCGCAACCAGTGTGCAAAGGTTGGTCGAAGTGATTGTGATTAAAAAAAAAGTGTTGAGTAATAAATCTTCTTCAACAACTTGACTGAAGTGTTGAGTATTTACTAATGTTTTGTCTATCATTTTCACATTTCTGTTTATTAATACATATATCTGGTTCCTATATATATATATATATATATAAAAGATAGATACATTGATAAACAAAATTCAGTGAATGTGTTCGAGATACCTTAATGGATTACAGTTGGCAGATTGTATATCTGTACTGTTCCGTCAATTGGTATACTGTCAAGTACCTGTCTCTACTTTCACATTGATCCTGATTTTTCTAATAAGAAAACTCGTTTCTTTATTTTTGCAGGAAGATTTGTACTACCCACACCCCCTTGTACAGGATATACTTTGGTCCTCTCTCCATATGGCTGTTGAACCAATCTTAATGCGTTGGCCTGGAAAGAAGTTGAGAGAAAAAGCTCTTAAAACTGCAATTGAGCACATACATTATGAAGATGAGAATACTCGTTATATTTGCATTGGGCCTGTGAATAAGGTATGTATCCAAGCGGTGTGGTAAACTTTCTGTCTGTTAAGCAGAGTAAAGATAATTTTTTAATGCTGTGACTTATACTATATTTTGAGGAGATGATGGAGAGTGGGAAGGAGAAAACAGGTAGTAGACATGGGAAAGATAGAAAGTGAGAAGGATATAAGTTTCTCTGCTTCTTGTTGGGTAGAAAGGAAGGAGAGAGGAAGGACAGTTTGATATAAAAGATTACATTTTGCCCTTTATTAGGAAGAATATTTTAGTATTCTATAAGGAATTTTATAACAATTTGTATAGATTTCTTCCAATCATACCATGAGTGCATTGGTTTTGGTGGGTCTGCAGTGGCTTTTCACCCACCCTATTTTCCTTTCTCCTGACCCATATCTTTACCAAATGAAGGATCTCCTATCTTTCCATCCCTTTATCCCTCCCACTTTCTGGCCTACCAAACTTGGTGATAATTATGAGACTGTTATTGAAGTTTATTTATTAGTTAGGTTCTTATATGCCTTCACTGATCTTTGATCAATCTGATCCTTTTCTGGATGACTTTTTTAACTGTGTTTTAGTTATTCACTTATGTTTTTATTGATGTTCATGTTTTGGTAACCAGTACATTAAAAACCCCTTCCTTTCACATATTTCTATTTGGCAATTACAGTTTGAGGTTATTGTGGATTGCAGGTGTTAAATATGCTTTGTTGTTGGGTAGAAGATCCGAATTCAGAGGCTTTCAAGTTGCATCTTCCAAGAATCTATGATTATCTATGGATTGCTGAGGATGGCATGAAAATGCAGGTCTGTATACTACCATCTTACCTTGAACTGTTTTTAATAATTCTTCCATGTTTCTGGTTTGGTGAATGTGACGTTACAGCTTTTAGAATGCTTATTGAAAAACATTACTACATAACTCCCAGTGCTAGTTGTATTCAGTAGTCACCAATAATATGATATGGTAATTTCCCTTTCTACAAAAATACATGTGATCAAGTTTAATACAATTGCTAGGTAGGTGAACAAGTTTTCGAAGTTTTTATAGCTGCTGTGATTTATTCAACTATCCAGATGCTTGCATTGCTGTGCTTACCGAGACGGACACATTTGAAAGTCTTAATACCCTCTAACTGCGAATAAGTTCAGTTATGCAGATTTGTTTTACAGCACTTAATGAGACAACATTTGTTTAATGAGTTTTCTGTTAAGCATCCTGATTTTATGACTCATTGCAGGGTTACAATGGAAGCCAGTTATGGGACACTGCTTTTGCCGTTCAAGCAATTATCTCAACCAACCTTGTAGAAGAATTTGGTCCAACTCTAAGAAAGGGACATAAATTCATCAAGGATTCACAGGTGGCGTTTCCATGTGTATCAGAAATCATTTTGCTTCTTAATACTGTTATATTTTAATGGCCCCGCCGTTTCCCTAATTGACTGTTTTTATTTTTGATTAAGGTTCTAGAAAATTGCCCAGGTGATCTTGACTTTTGGTATCGCCACATTTCAAAGGGTGCTTGGCCTTTCTCTACTGCTGATCATGGATGGCCCATCTCAGACTGCACCGCAGAAGGATTGAAAGTGAGTGTTGACCAAATTGAACACGATGCATTTGTTTATTCCTTGTTCACTATTTCTAAGCCTTTCTTTTTTCAGGCTGTTCTATCATTGTCAAAAATTCCATCGGAAATTGTTGGTGAACCACTAGATGCAAAGCGGTTATACGATTCTGTCAATGTCGTACTCTCATTGCAGGTTAGCTGAGACCATTATAGTCTGAAGTAGATATGTGTATTAATTTTCTACCGCCCATATCATCACCAAGAACTACTTATTTATGCACTGAAGGGTGTCTTTAGAAGTGGTAAAAATGCAGCTTGCATGTGACTATAAATATGTGATAAAGTGACATTTATTTATAAGGTGATTACAGTCCTAGAACAATAAACTTTTCAAACTTCACAAGAACCAATTTTGTTAATATTGTCTAGGATTTTGGCTGTTGCAGTTGTATTGACATTTATCTTTTCTAATAAATGTTGAAGATCATCAACATTAACAACCACAAAAGAATGGTAAGTTGCACCAGTCCTCATCTAAGGTTAACCTAGAGTACAGGATCTCTATTCTCAATCCATTAAGCTTTCTATCAAAGGCTTCACTCCCGTCCTCCGCTAGATTTATCTATCACTTAGATTAAATACCCCATCAAATGTATCAACGATGTCAAGATCATCATCAGCAGCAGCAGCATTTTGTAGTACCTATTTTAAATTTATATCCTAGGTTGCACGTACCTTGAACCTTACCTGTATTTTTTTAACCATTTTTTATGCCTAAGCTGATGGATACAGAGAAGTCTGATTTTTGTATGTATATATCCCTTATTTACAAAAATCTAAAGAGAGGGATGGAACTTTATACGAATCTGATTCTCTTAAAATTCCGGTGCGGAGGGTGAGTTTTGATGATATAAAGGTGAAATAAATAAAGCATATACTGCCACATAGTATAAGTGACAATGCCTTTTTTTATTTGGACCTATTATTGCGTTACAATCTGAACTGTGTTAATTGATCATGATGCTTCTTTCTTTCCCCGTCTACAGATTTCTAATTAATGCTCTTCTTTGCTTTCCCTGTAACAAATGATCTACTGAAAGCATTTTTTTAATCACTGATAGCTCTCTATTATAATGTGATTGCAGAATACTGATGGTGGCTTTGCAACATACGAACTTACAAGATCCTACAGGTGGTTAGAGGTAGACTCTCCATTATCATTCACTTTTCTTCATTTTATTTTGGTGGATTCTGCTCAAGTCCATGATCTAGTAATATGACTGCCATCTAATAATCTCCTCCGTCTAGTAAGTGTTAGAATTTCTGTCGTGCACCTTAAAAGGACCTCATTACTCTATATGTCCAATTCTGTTTGGTGATTGCACATCATCAAAGCCCTTACGCGAGATATCCTAAGATTCCTGTTTAAGGGCATCTTCATTCTCCTGTTGTTTATTAACTCAAGATAGTGAAAACCACTTGAACAATGGAAAATGTATAAGAAAATTTTACCATCAAGATGTAGATCACGCTCTCATAATTCGTTTTATGGAAAAATTATCATTTCTTCTCTAGTAAATTTTACTTCAAACTTGGAAAAAGTCACTATTGCATGTGATGACTCATATAATGATTTAAAGTTGATGCCCTTCTTTTGGCCCAAATTTAGAATCTGTCGTAATAATCTATGTTTTTCACCATTACCTCCTGAGATCTGGGGGACCTAATCTTTTTCACTGTTTCTTCTCTTTTTCCAGTTGATCAACCCTGCTGAAACCTTTGGTGACATTGTTATCGATTATCCGTAAGATATCAGCACCTTGAACTGCGTCAGTTTCCATTACTTTTTTGTTTTTGTTTTTCAAATTACTTAATTAGTAATAAGTACTTTCTACATGTCTCTGTAGTTATGTCGAATGTACCTCAGCTGCTATTCAAGCTCTGGCATCATTTAAGAAACTATATCCTGGTCATCGGAGCGAAGAAATTGAGCATTGCATCAAAAGAGCTGTTGAGTTTATTGAAAAGATACAAGAATCTGATGGTTCATGGTTTGCCCGTTTACCACTATATAAGCTCTTTCTAGCTGCTTTCTTATTCTCTGATCTATATGTTTTAAAGAATTTGCTCAATCAATGCATGTACACTTTTTAAGTGTAACACAATTTATGATTCCCTGTTTGTTGCTTGTACAAAAAACTTCAATGTTCTCAGTTTGATCGCACCTTTTATTTCTAAAATTGCTCAACAGGTATGGTTCATGGGGTGTTTGCTTCACTTATGGTACATGGTTTGGGGTAAAAGGGTTGGTGGCTGCTGGAAGGAACTATAACAATAGCTCTAGCATTCGTAAAGCTTGTGATTTTCTGCTATCAAAACAGCTTGCTTCTGGTGGCTGGGCCGAGAGTTATCTATCATGTCAAAACAAGGTAAGTCTGTTGATTTTAATTGTTTCTTAGTTATCAAATAAATGCACATATTTTTCTATAAATTATCAAGTGGTTCATCAATCCTGATATAGAACAAGATATGTGTTTGTATGTGTGTGTCTCTGTATTTGTATATTGAATCTAAATGAAGCTTCTATTTCCTTATCATCAATGTATGGTTATATGGCCATGAAAACCTGTGACAGTCTTGAGTCCTTAGTTTTTTCTTTTAGTAAAACTCTCACACAGTGATTTGATAGAGAACTGGTTAACAAGGTGTAGAATATTTGTAACGTTTGTTTTTGAAAATGCACTATCTTTATACTTTTATTTCATAGTGTACCTAATATGTTGATGCGTTTGCCAAAAAAGAGACTCTTGAAGAGATTGTAACTTTGCTAGTAATGGGATGGTTCTTGACTGAGGTGACAATATTAAATTCTAGGTTAAAATTTTATTGTGATAGTTTTTGTGATTCTTGTCTTCTAATGTTCTTCTGATCGCTTTTCTGGACAGGTGTACACAAATCTTGAGGGTGATAGGTCTCATGTGGTAAATACCGGATGGGCCATGTTGGCTCTTATTGACGCTGGGCAGGTATGCATGTAGTTTTACCAAATACGTTTCATGTACATGTGTATGTTTTTATTCAACTTATTCTCATGTCGCAACAATTGTTTTGGGTTTGTTTTTATCGGATAAGAACAAGTAGTTTTATTAATATGAGCTAATCATCAAAACACTAAAGTAGACGAGCAGTGTAGTCCACCAAATACACAAAGAAAGCCTCTACTGTCCAAACACTCAGTACAACACCAGAATTTTACAGACAACATAAGTCCTAGTTCTAAGTTCTAACGATTTAGGACAATACAGCCACTCTTTAACCCCCCTTAAGAAAAAAAGGGTGCCACTCTTTAACCCCACTTAAGAAAAAAAGGTGAAGTCTCTCTGTTCATTAGACATTGAATCCCACAGAAACACACAAAATCTGGCCCTCTCCCACTAGAGATCTTCATCCTCTGCATTTTTCAATAAAAGTTCTGCCATTCCTCTCCAACCAAACAATTCCATAACTGCCAACACACAACTCCAAAAAACTTGACCCTTTTTCCCTCCAGATCCACATACTTCCCATTTGTTTGTTTTCTGATGCTGATAGGGATTTTTGTACACTGCTTTCCTTGGTGTTATTCCTAGCGTTTGCATTTTTTCTGATTGTGGTAGTCTTTTTTATTGGAGCAGGCTGAGAGAGATCCAACACCGTGGCACCGTGCGGCAAGACGTTTGATAAATTCTCAAATGGACAACGGGGATTTTCCTCAAGAGGTACTTCATTGTTTGTTACAGTACTATTTAAAATGCATAACCTGAGAACAAGTGCTCTAAGTTTCTACCATTTTGCATGATTCTTGTCTTTTTGGGTTTCTAGTGAATATGCTTCAAGTTAGGATATGAACATATGATATAGATAAGATAGTTATTTGTATTATAAATTGAACAAACTTTTTGGGAAAATTATGAATACATCGTATTAATTCCTCGTAATATGGCACACTTTTGTGTGGAAAATTGTGTTGTTTTGCTCTGAGCTTTAGCTTGACATGTTTTTTGGATGGAAGAAAATTCATTGTGCTTTTGGTTGATTTAAAATGTATAAGAAAAGCATGCAGAAGATAACAAGAAACCATGTCAAGCCAGGAGATGTGCAACAGGGTGGTTTTAGAATTATATGGATATTCTCATATTTAATTCTTCTTATGTTGAACAAAGTTTTGGATGTTGATTTATGTGGAGGAATTTGACTAATCAATAGGAGAGAGTTGGTTGAATTGTAGTGCATTTCATTACAATTTGTGTGAATTAATTTAGGTAAGGCTGAGAGGTATGATTAAGTCTTTTCTCTGTTGGTATCATGTAAAAGTATTTGCTGTATGGTAATTGAAATCCCTAATTAAAAGGGTCAAGAAAGAATGGAACTCAAACCTTAGGGACAGCATTAATAAATCCCTTTTACTATCAAGGTGTTGTTGTATGTTCTGCCAAAATGAAATTAATGCTAGCTTCTAATCTCAATAAATTGTTTTCTTAAATTTTGATGTCATTTCCGAAACATTAATATGGGGTCTATTAGTGCAATGATGATTTAATTTACTGTCACCTGTTGAAGACGCGTTGAATCGTTTCCGTTCGACTATTTTTTTTACAGGAAATCATGGGTGTCTTCAACCGGAAACTGTATGACACGTATGCCGCAACCGGAACATTCCCTAATGGGCGTTGGGAGGAATACCGCTGCCGGGTGTTGCGCTTCATGAGCTAACCTTGCCATAATTTGTATAACATTCTCTCATGCAAGTTAATGTATTTCAAATTCAAATACCTTTTTGTCAACTAAACATCGCAAAGTAATGAGTTCTAGAGCCTAAAAAAATTTCATAAAACAAGAGGAAATAAATCATAACAAATTCCAGGTGATTGTGTATCATAGTGGTATCTGATATGGAAATTTTGAAGTTACTTGGCTGAGGCACAGCTTTTACCCATCTAACATCAGTGAGGCATACTCATTAACTTGCATGAGGAACCAACAATTCTTGTTTAGACTTATGGTAGAAAAATATAGTGCACAATTGTAAAATAAAATTTAGGCATTCAATGTTCTCTCTAATAACAGCCCTTTGTTGTCTTTGCCATGGACTAGGGTTTATTGGAAGTTAAAATAAATTTTCGGGCCCGTCTGAATTGATGGATTTGGAGGAGTCCTGTTTGGGACTACTTTAGTAAACCCAAATCCACTTTAAATTTGAAATATTTGGATGAAGGTATTTGAAAGGAAGTATTTGGATTTCACAATAATGCTAAATTTTCTATAAAAAAATGTAAATATTAGATTGAATGTATTTGAAATTAAAAAAAATATAAATATTAGATGAATGTATTTGAAATAATGAGATGTAAGAAATTTGGAATGATTTTTTATTTTATAAAATCGATATTTGGGGGCAGAGGGGGATTAAACCCTAGAGTCTCGGAATGGATTTGAAATAAATATATGCAATTAGTTATTTGAAATACGTTGGTTTCTTCACTTTGTTCTTATTCAAATCTAAGTGTACATGTTATAACACGTGAACGAGTATACAACATTACTATATTCTGATACCAAATTATAACTACTCCTTGTTTGACAACATTTTCACATTCTCAAATTATCATTCCACATTTGAAATTAATAATTTATGGTTTTTAAAAGCATTATTATGCTCTTCGGTTAAGGTTAAGGAGATCAGGAGTTGCATGTGGGCTCCACGTGCCCAAGCTGCAATTATTGGTTGAAAACAAACCCCAAGCTCCAATCCAAACGCTCCCTTTCTAAATTTGAAAACCCAGCACTGAGCGCGAAATTTGAAGCCGAGGCCATCATCATTTCAAAAAACAAAAAACCAAGAAAAAAACTCTCTCTCTCTCTCTCTCTCTCATTTGAAGGGTAAAATTTTCTCGAACTCCGTCCCAGAAGAAACGCTCCCTGAGATTCGTTCTTTTGAGTATTTTATTAATTCCTTTGTTATATTCTAAGTTCCGTCAATCTCCAAGGCATTCTTTCAAATTTTGTTCCTTAATACATTTTATTTTCCGTTTGGCAGCCGAGAAAGAGCCGGAAAAATAAAAGAAAATGGGAGAAGAGGAAGCTTTGATACTGCGTTCTGAAGTAACAATGCAAAACCCTCCTTTTTGGCCCCGGGGTAATTCTACTCGGGAACTGACAGAGACTATGTGTAAGTGCTTGCTCTAAGACTTTTAGGGTTTAAATCTTAGTTGTTTCATAATTTGTTTTAGAGTTCCTTGAATGCTTTAAAAAAATAACATTTAGGATTTAGCTTGATGCTCAAAACACTGATTCTAGGAACATTGAGTAATAAATAGTGGGAATGTTTTGAATTTTTTACCTCTTTTATGTGGTACGTGGGTTTTCTTAAAAAGTTCAAAAAAAGGCTCAAACTTTGAACCACATGATTGATTGTACTACCTTTCTTTTGTTGGTCCTAAACTGTCCAACATCTATGCTTGAAATTTCAACTTGTTTCGCCTTTTTTTCTTAATTAAAATAGACTTTTGAGAGAAAAAGAAAAGAAAAGAAGAAATTGAATCAAGCAATATCGGGTTGCATTTGATTGGTTACTACTTGGTTTCAGTTCATCATGGTATAAGAAATGAATAATGTTTAGTTGGCTTTGTTTAACTCCTGTCTACTTTGACTTTGCAGGATTTCAATATTTTGAACAATAAAACCAAGTATTTTCCACTGGTATATTTAAGTTGTGACGTCTTTTATAACCATCAGCAATCCCAACTTTGAAGGGAATTAATCTTGTATAGTTAGGACTTGCGTATTTCTTGCTACTATTCAAGATGAAGAGACATGCACACGTTAAAGGGAGGGGACCCACAAGAGTCAATACGCAACAGGTGGTTTTTGAGTTAAAACACAAGGTGGTTTGTGCACTGAACAAGCTTGCTGATCGAGATACTTACCAAATAGGCGTTGAGGAACTTGAGAAGATGGCTGAGTGCTTAACCCCAGAAGGGATTGCTCCATTTCTGTCTTGTATTTTGGATACAGATTCAGAACAAAAGAGTGCAGTTCGAAAGGAATGTATTAGACTGGTTGGTACATTAGTGAGATATCATGAGGGGCTTGTTGGGCTGCATCTTGGTAAGATGGTTGCCAGCATTGTTAAGCGACTAAAGGACCCAGACTCTGTTGTGAGAGATGCATGTGTGGAGACTGTTGGTGTTTTGGCTTCAAAATTGAGTAATGATACAGGTGAGGGTGATGGAGTCTTTGTTGTCTTAGTAAGGCCACTTTTCGAAGCTCTGGGTGAACAAAACAGGCAGGTGCAGTCGGGTTCAGCATTGTGTTTAGCTAGGGTCATTGACAATAGTCATGATCCACCAGTTTCAATTCTGCAGCGTATGTTGAACCGAACAATAAAGTTGTTAAAAAATCCACATTTCATGGCGAAGCCAGCAATTATTGAATTGAACAGAAGTATTATCCAGGTGAGTTCTTAAGCAAACATAAGTTGTTCATGATATTATTGATTGTCTTTTATGATTCTGGTATTGCAAATTTTGTTTTTCCAAATGCTGTATGAAGAAATGTTAATTGATTTCTATCTGCAAATCTTTCGAGTTATTGTTCACATAATCAGGAGAGGTTTTTAATGTTGAGTTTACAATCTATACCAATGAAAGCAATTTAAGATGACAGCTCCTTTAATCATCACAGATTGATGTATTTGCATGAATAGCATTAGTTTGCTTACTTATTGTGTGCAAAAGAATCTTCTTTTAATCTCTGTTTTCACATTAATTATTAGAATTTGTAAAACATGCTATATGGTGTTCCCTCTCAATCATAGTACAGTGTGTTTTTTCAATTAATCAGTGAATGGGATGGGATAGTGCTGTTGGCTACTACACTTCTAAACAACCTACTTTGATACTTCACATGCTTGTGTTTATTTTATTTTACTGTATATTTTGTAGCACCTATACTTTTTGTACTTTGTGTGGTAGAAAGTTTTTTGGTGCACAATTTGATTTTCTGTTCTAGGCAGGGGGTGCTCCAACACAAAAATTCTCTCTGCTGCAATGGCTAGCATTCAAGAATCTCTCAAGAGTAATGACTGGACAACACGCAAAGCTGCATGCATAGCGTTAGGGGAAATAGCTTCAGGTGGTGGATCCTTCTTGGGCTCTTTTAAGGCTTCCTGCATTCGTTCCCTTGAATCTTGTCGCTTGACAAGGTTAGTGTTAATTAAAGGGGAAAAAAAAAAAAAAAAAAAAAAAAAAAAAAAAAAAAAAAAAAAAAAAAAAAAAAAAAAAAAAAAAAAAAAAAAAAAAAAAAAAAAAAAAAAAAAAAAAAAAAAAAAAAAAAAAAAAAAAAAAAAAAAAAAAAAAAAAAAAAAAAAAAAAAAAAAAAAAAAAAAAAAAAAAAAAAAAAAAAAAAAAAAAAAAAAAAAAAAAAAAAAAAAAAAAAAAAAAAAAAAAAAAAAAAAAAAAAAAAAAAAAAAAAAAAAAAAAAAAAAAAAAAAAAAAAAAAAAAAAAAAAAAAAAAAAAAAAAAAAAAAAAAAAAAAAAAAAAAAAAAAAAAAAAAAAAAAAAAAAAAAAAAAAAAAAAAAAAAAAAAAAAAAAAAAAAAAAAAAAAAAAAAAATGTTTTCTTAATGTCTGGTTAGTGTGCAGACACCAAATTCCTGTTTAATGGAATACAGGTATATCCAAGTCACACAAACTACTCCAGGACAGAACTTAATACATAAAAGAATAATCTTTGGAAGATGGTATATTATTATTAAGCATGGATTAAGACATGAAACTGTGATATCTGAAAATCAATCTGGTGGTTTACACGAATGATCAGTTAACTAATATTGGGCAGTTATATGGTTCCAAGTTTTTTTTGTCATTTTATAATGATTTCGCAATGTAGTTCCTAGTTAAAAATCCTGGTAGGTTTTAGAAAATGGAGGTATCTCTCTGCGAGTAATTGCCTGAACTTTAATAGATACGGAATTTGATTCATCTGATCTTTTTCTTCACGTGTAAAATCAGGGTTATGCACCTGCATTTGAGGAAGGCACAAAGTCTATTGTGTGATATGCAACTGTCAAATGAGAAGAACAATCATGATGATGAGTTTGAACGTGAAAGTAATGGTTACAGTGAAAAGGCTGAAGCCAGACAAGGCCAAGATGACGATTCATATGTTGCAAATGACAAATATAATGGATACAATTACGATGATGAATGCAATTATGATAAGGAATGCGATTTTGAAGAATTGACTTAAATAATCAACTTCTTTTTTTCTTGATTTAGATTATTTTTTCATGAACCAGTTGTATCATGTTACGATCTAAAGGTTAAGCAATTGAATCTTTTGGTTTTTAACAACTTTTTCAAATTGGAATTAGTCTGAGGAGAGATGCTATTGAGCATCGTTTGCATGTGAAACTCTTTGAACTATAACCATGAGCAAAATTCGTAAATTGGAACACTGAATTGTTGGTTTAAAGTTGTTCACAGTTTTTTGAGTGTATAGGGAAAAGCACCAGTTTGACAACAATGTTTCCCCTGTTTTCTTCTTCCTAAATTCAACACTGACAACACCAAAGGCTTCACAATATTCTATACAAGTCTGAGGAAAATTTCAATTGATCATTGATTTGCATCTCAAACTGTGAATTTATATAATTTAGTTAAAAGAAATTTTATTCAATGTTGAAAAATCGATTCTATGATGACGTTAGTGGGGCTTAGTTTCCACATCATCAAACTGCTCGGCAATTCATCATCCTTGACAATTTGACATTTTGTCGTCCAAAATATCCAATAAGGCCTTGTTTCTTTATTGCCGATTCAAAGACATTCGAATATTTTAAAAGTATAGCCGAGCGGCTATACTCTTAACACGAAGCTTGCACTTGCAGTCAAGCCATTTCGCTTCTCTATCAACTCAAGCTTCGATTTGTTGTCTTTGGTTTCGGCTACTTCGTCCTCCGGGTTCGGCAACGAAAAAAACACAACCCACCTAGGCGCCCGCCTAGCCGCCTAGCATCCTCGCTCCCCCCTAGCCACCACCTAGCGGCCTCGCGCCCTCCTAGCAACCGCCTAGCCGCCTCGCGCCTTCCTAGCAACAGCCTAGCCGCCTCGAGCCTGCCTAGCGACTGCATAGCCACCTAGCCGCCTGCCTAGGCCGATTTTTCGAACACTGCGATTGACTGAAAGTCTGAAACAACAATGGCCTCTTTCAGCATCCTTTGGCTTCTTTTGCAGTCTATGCTTTCTCAGCTGCTTCTGGTTTCATGTGTCCATGGCTCAAAATGCTACTACCGATCCATCTGAAGGTACTAGCCATCTTTCAAGTATAGCATAAATGTACGTTATGTGATGGGTACGCAATGATTGAATTGAGAATACAGTGACGGCGTTGATCTCAATATCCAAGCAATGTGACATGCAATCCCTGCCTATCAGTGGATGAGAGCAATGCATTGGATTTGCCATCAATGGAAGCGAGTTTGAAAAGCCAGAGAATAATCCAGCCTCTCTCTCTCTCTCTCTCTCTCTCTCTCTCCATATTCTTTAGTCTTGTGTTGTAGTATAGCCGGTCGGCTGCACTTTTTCAACACGTGGCATTTTTTAAATAAGAAATAGTCTAGCGTGCGGCTATACTCCTTTTTTTTTGAATTTTTTAAACAAAGATGGTATAGCCGGTGGGCTGTACTTGTTTGACACGTCGCACACAGGCTGGGCTTGTCTTTATATGCATATATATGCCGGCAATACTAGATCCTTTTTTATTTTTTGAAAAATTTCGTGGCTATACTCCTTTTTTTGAATTTTTTAAACATAGATGGTATAGCCGTTGGGCTGTACTTATTTGACACGTGGCACACAGGCTGGGACGTGTCTTTATATACATATATATATATGTATGCCGGCTATACTAGAATCTTTTTTATTTAATGAAAGAAATAGTATAGCCGTGCGGCTATATGCGTTTTTTTGAATTTTTAAAATAAAGATAGTATAGCCGGTCGGCTGTACTTGTTTGACACGTGGCACTTTTGCTCTTGGCGCATCCTTTTTTTAATAAATAAATGGTATAGCCAACCGGCTCTACGTTTTTAAAAATTTTTAAAACGTATTATTAGTTTCTTTACTTTTGTTTTTTCGCTACTTCTTTGATTCAATATATATAATTATGTAATGTCTTATCCTTTTTCAATTACTTTAATTAGGAATGATATTTTATTTATTATTTAATACAAAAAATTTATAGAAAAAGTCCACAAAATAATTAATTTCTATTTACTAAGTCTTTTGTGAAATCGTTTGGGTGTCCTAATTAAATTTCTCAACAGCCCAAGAGCCCTATCAATTACTATTAGGCCATTACACGAGTATCTATTGTCCCTTTTTCATTTTTTACTTTTCCAGAGTTGTTATCCGTACAAAGATTCTAGCCCCTTCACGTTTAATAATGTATTATACATGTACACACGTATTTCCCATGTTTAAAGCACCTATTTTTTACAAAAATTCAACAAGACACACATAACTCTCACGTATTATTGAATAAAAATAATATATATTTATCCTTTTTTATTTTATTTTTTGAAATTTTTAAACAAAGATGGTATGGTCGGTGGGCTGTACTTGTTTGACACGTGGCGCACTGGTTGGGGCGTGTCTTTATATACATATATATATATATATATATGCCGGCTATACTAAATCCTTTTTTAGTAAAGGTTCTGTTTTTCCAGAATTTCTTTGTAGGTGGTTTTTTACTGATGATTTGGTTTGTGAAGTAGGTTCAATCCCCTTCGATGTTGGCATGTTCAATGAATTTGAAGATGATGAGGAATGAAGAACTATTTGATTGTTATTTTCATGAGGGCTTGTAATTGTTCAATTGATATTTTAATTATTTCCTTTCGTTTAGTTTATTTTGTTCAATTGATATTGTGGAAAATAATTAATTTTGTTGTGAAGTCTAATAGAAAGTAGATATGGCTCACACACACAAAAAAACCAAAAATGGCCTTTAAGGCAATTTAGTGGCATTATTCTTTTAGGTTTTTTTTTTTTTTTTTTTTTTTTTTTTTTTTTTTTTTTTTGATTGGCTCAAATCTGAATTCGATTAAAAGCCCAAAAAGGGAAGTAAGGAGAAGCTTAAATAAGGATGATTTCTTTACCCAAAAAAATAAGGATGATTTCTTTGGTTATAGGACAATTATGGCCTGCCTTGCTTTGGTAACTCCTTAGCTTTAGCTTAGCAGATGATGCCAAAGAGTCTCTTGCTTTTGAGAAGAAAAAAAAAACAGGGGGCCTTACTTGCTCAAAAGGAAATACTAGAATTGCTTCCTCGTGAAGTAGTTGCCTCTATATTATTGCTGCACTAGTAACTAGTTTCCTACTTTTTGTTGTTGGAATGCAGAAAGTGCTTGTTGAATGAACAATTATATATCCAACACTCCATCAATTAATTCTCTTGTTTGTTCTTGTTATATCGGAAAAGGATTACCATATGATTGTTTTCCCAGGTTTCTTTGTATTCTTTTGAAATTTATGGTTTTTTTTTCTTTTTAATTTACTGTATACAGATGTAGTTATATTAAATCGTTGTTGCAGATGGACGAACGAAGATGGGAGGACTTACAAATGGACTGCTTGCTCAAAGTGTTGGTGAAAGTTGGAATGGAGTCACTGCTTTTGGATGTCCCTTTTGTGTGCAAGTCATGGTACAAGGCGACCCTCAATCCTTCATGCTGGCAATCTCTCCTTTTCCCGGACAACGAATGTATTGAGTTCTGGCCTTGGGATGCGTTTGAATGTCCAAATTTTCAAAATCTTATGGACAGATTTGCGAGTGAGTATCAAATTGATGGGGATCGTTGCTCAATCACCACTTTTCTAAAGTTTGTGATCAATCGGAGCAGCGGAAACGCTACTGTGCTCAAGCTTCCCAAATGCTGCACAATAGAAGCCTTTGAATTTGCTGCAAATGTGTAAGTTTTCTCATTTAAGTTAATTTTCAAAATTCCAATCCAAGTGTAGTTTAATTTTCCTTGTAAATGTAAATGTAGCATTTTTGCTGTTGTGGAATGTGTGCAGGTGTCCTGGCCTTGTGACTTTGAGTTTACCAGGAGGTGTATTGGACAGCAACCACACGAACTAGAGCTGATTGGCAAGTGGAAAAATTTGGAGGTGTTATCATTGGGTTCATGCTTAAATTTGGCGAAAATACTTGCAATTATACAAAAACATTGCAAGAATCAAAGGCTCTGTTCATGGACGTGAGGCATTGTCAATTGTGAAGTTGGTGCCTAATATCAAGTACTTAAATTTGAAGGGTGCAAAAGTTAATCGGGATGGTCTTGAGATCTGGTGATGTTGGACGCCAGAGATTGTTCTGGTTTCGATGAGAACGACAATGAAATATCAAAGCTTGCATCTCATATTAGTAAATTTATGTGCGAGAGGGTTCTGAATTTCCTGAATTTCTTCGTGGTATGGACAATTTTGTTCTTCCTGTTGATGGATACGCATTTCATTTGCATGTGGATGAGACGTGGGATGAAATGCTCAATGATTTGGGCGACGAGGAATGAAGAACTATTTGATTGTACTAAGTGATATCTCATGTTTTTTTTATATTTACAACACTAATGAGCAATTATGTGTGTTGAGTGTGGTGTGGTGTGGTGTGGTGTTCATCTTGTGTGTTTGGACATTGTTACTCTAATGAGGGCTTGTTATAAGTTCCTATCTTGATTTCATTATAAGATGTTTGCTTAATTTGGAAAATGGCTGTTCTAACTTCCTTCGCTACATTTTGCGTAATATCACATATGCTTGCGATTGTTCTGCAGCAGATCCTGACCTTCAATAATAATGGATGATGGTACTCTCTAGGCTCGATATCTGCTTAGGAACCAAAAATATATTAAGCTTTTGGCTCTTCTTTTGTATTAAATCTGTTGTATATATGTTCATGTTCTAGGTTAAGAAGGTTAACAAAGTGAGGCTCGCTGAGTACATTGAAGCAATGAGTGGTGTGAAGTTTTGGTCACAAGTTCTTAGAACTTCTATCCTGTTCATCTTTTCTCTTTTGTCTTGAAGCTATGTCTAATAGATTACACTGAAATTTGCCACTTTCAACTGCAGGTTAGTTTAGATACAATGTTTGATGTGCACACAAAGCGAATACTCGAGTACAAAAGGCGGCTGCTTAATATACTTGGCATTATCCATTGATATGACTGTATCGAGGTGAATCTGATTTTATATGTGGAAAAACTTTGCATTCCATATTTTTATAACTTATTAACAAAGAACTACCATATACCTTCTAAAGGGAGCTATCACCATCCTCTAGCATTGTGCATACCTAGTTCATCTTCTTGTCACGGTAATATAAGAAGTTGTTGGACAATAATTTGTTGATTTTTCAATGAGATATGATGTGCAGTTTGAGCTTTCTTCTCATGTTTTGTTTTTTAGCTTTTAACCCTAAAATAATATGACAAAATTGTATATTTAAAGCGTACAGCCGCGCGGCTATACTCTTTAAATGTTGATTAAAATTTAACCGTATAGCCGTCGGCTATACTTTCTAAATGGATTCGAATATTTTAAAAGTATAGCCGACCGGCTCTACTCTTCAAATATATTCAAGACGAACACGAAGCTTGCACTCGCAGAGGACGGAACTTGCTCTCGCAGTCACTGCTTCGTCCTCCGGGTTCGGCACCGGAAAAAGACCAAACCCGCCTAGCCTCCTGCCTGGCCCCTAGCGACCGCCTAGCCCCCTAACGACCGCCTAGAGACCGCCCAGCCGCCTAGAGACCGCCTAGCCGCCTAGCGCCCGCCTAGAGCTCGTTCTTGAAGGGTTCAACGACAATTCACAAGATGCACATTCTTGAAGGTAATATTGGATATCCCACACTCGTAGTAGTAGTTCAGAACTTCAGATAGGTTGATATATAGTCAATATAATATTCTGACCATCTGTGAACTGTCGCGGGAATTTAAATCCCGTCAGCACTGACAGCATCAAGTGTTTTCGACAATTGACCTATTTTGCTTTTTACAAAATATAATCTCACATTAACTCAACAAATCTGATGTTTTGCGGTTCATAAACAACCTTTCTGATGACCCTCTGCTGAAGACGCTTGGGCCTAACTTCAGATCCTATTTCTATCGAGCTTTTCATCAGTTCAAGAGAGTCTTTGCAGAATTTAAAAGCTCTCACCATGAGGTATGTATCAGAAGTCCTTTGCTAATTGGTCTGTAACAGGTGTTGGAAAAGGAAAATATTTCTTCAATGTTCTTAGGAGGACACTGAGGCCACTCCTATGATACATCTTTATAGTTTTCTGCCATTAAGTCTGCTGTTGTTTATATTTGCATATCTCTTTACTTTTATAGAGTAGTTTCCAAATTTTGGTGGTTGGTTTTCTAATTTTCAAGAACTCTGAAGGCACGTGTAACTATATCACTTCAATCTTGAAGATGTTGAGCCACAAATCTTTGCAAAACTTAAACATGTAACGGATTGTCTCTTCCTACCTCCAAATATTAGTTGTAAAACACTGAGAATTACATGACAGATGCTTGTATTACCTCATTTAGCAGGTTTTCTAACCATGAATGCATATGCTATATTGTTGAGGACTGCACCATTATGTACAATCATGACCGCCTAGGCCAATTTTCTTTATGCAGTTACAACATTTCATCAAAGAGAAACTGGAAAAGAATGAATGCAAAGCAGCTCTTGCAAATGAGGAATTAGTTTTCTTTACGGTATGTAGTCAATTTTCTTTCCTTTTAATTATTTCTGTACGCTTTTCTGCCACAACTTTTCTCAAGAAATATGTCCTATTTAAGTATTTTCGTGTGGTATTGTCCTTAATCAGAGTTGCTCTCATCAAAACTCACTAGCTGAAAGCGTCACAAGTAGTTGTATTCAGCTTAGCTGATTGTGATGTCAAGTATTGTAGACCAACTGAAATTTTCTTTTGCTGTAACTTCTGCAAGATGGAATCTGTGTATTCACTATTTCAAGATTTTAGATTGGTATATAGTATATACTTTTTTGTAGTATAGCAATGATAATTCTCTTAGAATTTGCTTTCTCCAGTTTTTGTTTGGGGCAAAGATTCTTGAAGTTCCCAAATTGCGTGAGGAAGGATCTTCTAAAATACCACTGCAATGTGCACGTGTTATAAGGTACGCAATTACAGTCACTTCAATCCTACTCACTTAGCCAGTTAGTGATTGGGGTGACCAGTCTAGAATTTTCAGATTCTTTAGAGGGCATGTGTTTGGTGTCGTTTTTTACCATTGTGTAATGTTCTGAGCGAACTGTTTCCCCAGGTTCTAATTCTGCTGTGATATTTATTATGTGTAGGATGGTCCGAGATGGCTATTTCGGCTTTAAAGACTATTTTCAATCTCTATGTGATACTGTGGACGGTGGTAAAGACTTCTATTTGCTTGGTTCTGATTTTGAGAGCTATTTAGAGGCTCAGGTAATTATTTCTGTTTACTTGGCAGTCCCAACCCAAAGCATATATATGCACTTGGAAGTATGGTGTTGTATAACTTACTATGGTGCATGGGATTTGAATCTATATGACTACAGGCTGCTGTTGATAAAGCATTTGCGGATCCAAATAAGTGGACTCAGATGAGCATCCTTAGCACAGCCGGATCAGGGATATTTAGCAGCGACAGAACAATCCAAGACTACGCGGAGAAGACTTGGGGAATTGAACCGTGCAGATTCCCTTCCGATGGCTAGCTTACCCTCACCCTCACCCTCACCCTCATCCACACCCCAGTAGCAACATTTTACATATTTGAATGGAATGTATCGGAAAGAATTTAAATTCTCATTCCCCAACGTCGCTTGTATAAATAAAATAATTGAAGAAATAACTGTAGCCCAATGGGCTAAAGTGGTATTTTAGCCCTAAACCCTTAAATGATATGAAAAAATTGTATGGTTAAAGAGTATAGCTGCCGTGTATAGCCGTTCGGCTACTCTCTTTAAAATATTCTAAACGTATAGCCGCGCGGCTATACGCTTTCAATATATTCAACATGAACACTAAGCTTGCACTTGCAGTCACAGCCATTTCGCCTCTCTATCAACTCAACCTTCGATTTGTTTTCCTCGGTTTTGGCTGCTTCGTCCTCTAGGTTCGGTACCAAAAAATGAGCCAACCCGCCTAGCCGCCTAGGCCGATTTTTCAAACACTGCGATTGACTGAAAGTCTGAAACCCGAAATTGAAAAAATTTTGCTGCAAATTTGAGCTTGAGATTGAAATTGGGAAGCACAAGTCAGTTCCGTAGAAGAAGAGATCTCATGCCTCTAATTCCATTCCTCTCCATGCTTCCCGCCTTATTCTCCTCTCTTGGCTCTCTCTCAAACGACATGTTCACCTCACCACACCAACGACAACGATGACAATTCCTCCCCTCTGCCAACTCCGCATGAAACTTGATTAATCTTTATGCATTCAATATTCATCCATTGATGGTTCTTCTTGGTTGGACTGCTCTTCATTCTTTGGATATTGTATTTCTGTTATAGATTTTGACATTTGATCATGCCCTCTTGTTTGCTGAGAGAAAAAAAAAAAAAAAAAAGATGTGTCTCCTCCTCCTCTTGCACATAGGAACACAAAACCAACCCACCAAAGAACAGAAAAAAAATATTGAAATATTACACCACCTCAAGTGAAAAATCTAATTCATTTAAGCTTTTAAATTTGTTCTTGTATTAGCACCTGTATGAGCAACAAGGTGAATTGTAAATGGACTCTACTTCTGCATTTGAGTTGTAATCCACTAGGATGAGTGTAAAGCCCTTATTTATGCTTACGGTCTCCCACTAGGGCTAACAGTCAATCTATAGCTCAAACGCAGTTGTATTGTATGGCCATGAGTTCACAACAACAAAGTCCTATAATCAAATTCCTGTCAGATGAAGGTATTTATGCAAGACCAGAGGGAGTAATGTTCATTTAAACTTAAAAACATTCCCCAAGATCATGTACACAAATCTTTCATCTAATGGAACGCCATCAAGATATGAACTAATCAAGTTTGTTGAATGAATGCTTGCCAAGATCCTCATCCTTTCAACATGGCTCTTAAAACAT